ATTTTTTTCTTTGCTGGCCAAGCATAAACATATAGTATGTAATTCTATGTTTATTTTGTCCACTGCTAAAAATTATCAACATATTAAGACTGTAAATCTCTCTGTCTATTTTTTTTCCACATCTGTCATTTCCCACCAAGGTACGTATGGAGGTCCAAAAAAGGAAACATTCACCATCAATCCTTCAACAGCTGTCTTGCCAAAAGTACTGCAATATCCCCACCCCTTCTTTAGAGTGTAGGTTCTGTACTTTTCATCTACAGAACTCAGGTCTGACTTTATTATTTTCTGCTCTGCATTGAAAAAACTTACTGTATTTCAAGCTATATAATTTAGTTTTTCCAAACTTTACATTAAAATACTGTCATCTAATATTTCATCATAAATATTTATTTAAAATAGGGTTAAAAATATGTATTAGTGGCTTACAAGATAAATATAAATTATTTCAGTACTAATTTCCACATACAAAATTTGAAATACAGTGGAACCTTGGCTTATGAACACCCCACCATGCAAACTTTTCAGGATACGAACAGTCGTTTGGTTGATTTTTTGCTTCTGGATACGAATAAAATTTCAGGATGCAAACTTCCCCCTCAAGGGAGGCTCCTTAAATAAATAAATAAAATATTTATTTCTTTGCAAAGGTTACAGTGTGTGTTTACATATCATAATATGATTGGAGCAAAAAAAAAAAATCATGCCAAGACATTTCAAGCAGAATTAACCTAATACTTATAGACTACTTAAGTCTACAGAGGTGAAAAGTAGTTGTGGTTACCAATGTTTTGCTGATTATGGTGCCAACTACTGGTAGCCTTCTGAGTTTCTCCTTACTGTTATTACATAATATTATTATTATTACTATTACATTTTTTTTTTCATCAAGTCGGCCGTCTCCCACCGAGGCAGGGTGACCCAAAAAAGAAAGAAAATCCCCAAAAAGAAAATACTTTCATCATCATTCAACACTTTCACCTCACTCACACATAATCACTGTTTTTGCAGAGGTGCTCAGAATACAACAGTTTAGAAGCATATACATATAAAGATACACAACATATCCCTCCAAACTGCCAATATCCCAAACCCCTCCTTTAAAGTGCAGGCATTGTACTTCCCATATCCAGGACTCAAGTCCGGCTATATAAAATAACCGGTTTCCCTGAATCCCTTCACTAAATATTACCCTGCTCACACTCCAACAGCTCATCAGGTCCCAAATACCATTTGTCTCCATTCACTTCTATCTAACATGCTCACGTACGCTTGCTGGAAGTCCAAGCCCCTCGCCCACAAAACCTCCTTTACCCCCTTCCTCCAACCTTTTTGAGGATGACCCCTACCCCGCCTTCCTTCCCCTACAGATTTATAGGCTTTCCATGTCATTCTACTTTGATCCATTCTCTCTAAATGACCAAACCACCTCAACAACCCCTCTTCAGCTCTCTGACTAATATTTTTATTAACTCCACACCTTCTCCTAATTTCCACACTCCGAATTTTCTGCATAATATTCACACCACACATTACATATATTGTATTATTATATATATTGTATTATTATTATTATTATAATAATAATAATTATTATTAGTAGTACGAATGTGGTGAGGGGCTCTTGATCTTGGGAAATGGATCTCTGGTCCAGTTCCCTAAATTAATAATAATAATTATTATTATTATAATAACACGCACGTACTACTACTACTACTAATAATAATACGTATATAATAATATAATAGGGTGTGTAAAGGTAGAAAGTTGAAAGTGAACATAGATAAGAGTAAGGTGATGAGGGTATCAAATGCTTTAGATAAAGAAAAATTGGATATCACATTGGAGAGAGGGAGTATGGAAGAAGTAAATGTTTTCAGATATTTGGGAGTTGATGTGTCAGCGGATGGGTTTATGAAGCATGAGGTTAACCACACAATTGATGAAGGAAAAAAGGCGAGTGGTGCAGTGAGGTATATGTGGAGACAAAAAACATTATCTATGGAGGCAAGAAGGGAATGTATGAAAGTACAGTGGTACCAACTCTCTTATATGAGTGTGAAGCTTGGGTTGTAAATGCTGCAGCGAGGAGGCAGTTGGAGGCAGTGTTGATGTCCTGTCTAAGGGCAATGAGTGGCATAAATTCAGAGAATTCAGTGTGTGGAAATTAGGAGAAGGTGTTGAGTTAATATAAGTATTAGTCAGAGGGCTGAAGAAAGGTCGTTGAGGTGGTTTGGTCATTAAAGAGAATGGATCAAAGTAGAATGACATGGAGAAAGTATAAATCTGTAGGGAAAGGAAAGCGGGGTAGGAGTAGTCCTCGAAAAGTTTGGAGGGAGGGGGGTAAAGGAGGTTTTTGTGGGCGAGAGGCTTGGACTTCCAGCAAGCGTGTGTGAGCGTGTTAGATAGGAGTGAATGGAGACGAATGGTTTTTGGGACCTGATGAGCTGTTGGAGTGTGAGCAGGGTAATATTTAGTGAAGGGATTCAGGGAAACCGGTTGTTTTTATATAGCTGGACTTGAGTACTGGAAATGGGAAGTACAATGCCTGCATTTTAAAGGAGGGGTATGGGATATTGGCAGTTTGGAGGGATATGTTATATATCTTTATATATGCTTGTAAACTGTTGTATCTGGGTGCCTCTGCAAAGACAGTGATTATGTATGAGGTGAAAGTGTTGAATGATGATGAAAGTATTTTCTTTCTGGGGATTTTCTTTCTTTTTGGGTCACCCTGCCTCGGTGGAGAGGGCTGACTTGTTGAAAAAGAAAATAATATAATAATAATAATATAATAATATAATAATAATAATAATAATAATAATAATAATAATAATAATATAATAATAATAATAATAATAATACATATAATAATAATATAATAATAATACTATAATAATAACAATAGTACGTACTATAATAAGCGAGTTTTAGAATGCCACCACGAGATGACAGAGAGTAACTCGTTTCCGAAACATTCTGAAAGGGATGGAGAAACAAACCTCCTTGGACAGTTTTTTATTAAAACGTCCTGCAGGTGAAAATGTGAAAAGCGTGGAGAAAAAAACAAAAATCAGTGAACAGCGAAGTGAGATAAAAATAAAAATTGTAGCAGTTAAATTCAGTGATAAAGTGAAGCATTAAGAGTATAGCAATTAAAGAGTGTAGCAATTAAGTGTAGCATTAAGAGTAGCAATTAAGCAATAGAAAAAGGATGAAACGAAATGAACTCCTGACAGCATACGCCGCTCTGCCTATCTTTTCTACCATCAACCTTCGCCAGCATTTTTTCTCCAAGGTACATACACCCGTTTATTTCTACATTATGTATTCCTTATGAAAGTAGTGATCTAATGCAGTTAGCCTCACAAACTTCATTTTCTCTTATAATAACACCTCTGAAGGGGAGATGTTTTCACAGCGGGAGCAAGAATGCCAGCGACCACTCTCCTCCGCTGCCGTCCACTAGCTACATACGTAATGACATATTTTATTCATTTTATATCAGGTTTCTATGTTATTTTTATTGTTTATTACATCATTTTAGATGAATTATGATAGATAAATAAGCCTTAGAGTTGATATTATCGATATTTTGTCATGCCTCCTGAGAGCAGGAATTCCACTGGAACGGATTAATGCCATATCAGTTAATTTAAATGAGTAAAATTGACTCAGCATACAAACAAATCAGGATACGAACAAGGTCACGGAATGGATTAAGTTCGTAAGCCGTGGTTCCACTGTACAGGTATTATGTAATTAACCCTTAGATATTTGTGTTAGTAAATTTTCAATTGTGATGGAAGACTTTGCCACCTCAACAAGAATATTTTTGTTCATCCACATGATTGCAAAACCTGTTTGTGGTGTGGAAAGATGAATGGTCCAAGATAAAATGACCTGACTCATATGTTTTTCTAATTAAAAAGGAGTATCTTTGAATATATCAATTTCTAAAATACAGTGGAACCTCAAATTTCGAACTTAATCTGTTCCAGGAGCCAGTTCTAAATTCGAAAAGTTTGAAAAGCGAAGCAATATTTCCCAAAAGAAATAATGGAAATACAATTAATCCATTCCAGAAACCCAAACATATTCACAAAAAAAAAAAAATACATTTTATAAAGATTAATTATAGTTTTACATACACACAACAAATAAAAAGTGTACAATATGTATTAATAAATTTAAATAAACATATAAAATAACATTTTTACTTACCTTTATTAAAGAATGGTGATGGCATCTGGAAGATAGAGAGGAGAGAGGGAGGTGGGGTTAGTGTTTGGAAGGGGAATTCCCCTCCATAAGGACTTTAGGAATCAAAGCCCTCTCTGGGGTTACTTCCCTTCTCTGTCTTTTAATGCCACTAGGACCAGCTTGAGAGTCACTGGACCCCTGTCTCACAAAATAACTGTCCACAGTCCTCTGTTTCTGGTGCCTCTTTAAGATTTCCCTAAAATGGGACATGGTTTTGTCACTGAACTTTTCACAAATAATCGTCTCTGAAACACTATCACCTGCCATCTCTTTATCCTTGATCCACGCCAGCAACAACTTCTCAACCTGATCAATTGTCTGTGGTTTTTTTTTTGGTTAACATATTAACACCTTTCGCAACATCAGCTTCCTTGATTTGTTCTTTCTTTGCCAGGATAGAAGTGATGGTCGACTTGGTTTTCCCATACATCCTGGCAAGCTCAACAAGTTTCACACCACTATCATACTTCTGTATTATTTCCTTCTTCACGTCTATGGTGTTCCTCACTTTCTTTACCACAGGGGTACCACTAGCAAGTTTCTTTGGGCCCATGGTAGCTTATTTCACAGTCCCACAGGCACTAAACACAATGAATTACAGTGGACCTTCGAATTTAGTAGTGCCTTTTCTGTATGCAAAACTATTTTTATTATCTATAAAATGTATCGTTTGTTAATATTTCCCATAGGAAATAATGTAAATCCAATTAAACCATTCCAGACACCCAAAAATATTAACAAAACATACATTTTATAGATAATAAAAATAGTTTTGCATACAGAAAAGGCACTACTAAATTCAAGGGTCCACTGTAATTGTAATATGTTTGAATGAGAGAGCAGGTTAGTGTTCAATCAAGCATCAACAAAGCCAGACTGGCTCAAGGCGCCTGCGTGGGGATGCGGACAGAGCGGGCTGGCAGACAGGTCCGGTACTCGGCGTTTTGAAAATAGGGGCGAGTTTGATAATAGGGACAAAGTTGGTTCAAATAAAGCGGTCGATTTTTAAAGAGTTATATAAGTGATACGTTCGAAATTTGAGGTTCCACTGTAATAATAAATGTAATTCATTTTATACAGTCTGTTAATACTGTACATGCAATGCTCACCTGTACCGTCGTACAGGTCGACAACGTCGTCGGGTCAAGATAGGACCTCCTTGGCCTCTTCCTGCTCTTATTAATAAACGGAAAGCTCTAGATAGATGTGATGTAGAAGATGAAGATGAAGAAGAGGCTGATAAAGAGGAGGTGCCAGGTATAGGACTGCTAAGTGTACTTGACTGATCACTGTCACCTACATCTTGAAGTGGCATTTGAAGTGTTTCCTCTTGGCCATTGGTAGAGGAAGCTAAGTGTTGTATATTGCTTATATTCTGCAAAATATGATTATGCACCCTAGGAGTCCAACGGGTTCGTGAGCCTGTACTCGGAGCAGATGGATGAACTCCTCTTTGTAAAGAATTTTGAGATGGGACTGAATCTGAAAATACTCCAAATGTTGGCATAACAGAATTTGATGACAGTGAGTGAGATGATGAAGGAATTCGAGAAGCTGTTTGGATATGTGAGGATAATGAGGGAAGATGGGAGGAAAGAATATGTGTAGGAAGTGGTGCAGAAGACACGGTTTCATTTGGTGAAGGTGGTGGTGGTGGTGGTGGTGGTGGTGGTGGTGGTGGTGGCGGCGGTGGCGGCGGTGGCGGTGGTGGCAGATGATTTGCAGTTGGAGGTGATCGTAACAGATTCATGGGATAATTGCGGCTTCCAGATGACTGTGGTGAAAAGAGTGAGCTGAATCTGTCATTGCTACTTCTGCTTACAACAACAGCAACACTTGTTGGTGAACCAGAACTTCGAGTCACTGGCTCTTTTAGTCCTACGTAGAAAGTAGAAAATTGAATTCAATACATTAATACTTAATAAAAAAGATGGAGGTCATGCTAAACATTATTTTAGCAAATATGAATCAGAAAAACAAATCAATACAGCCTTTCCTCACTTAGCGATGTACTTGTTTACCAACCACATGGACTTACGACCAGCTCTCCAACCAGTATGCAAATCTAAATAATGTATATTAGAGCTGATTTTCTCTATTCTGTTTATTACAGTATACAGTACACTATATAAACAATAAAAAAAATATCTAAAAATGGTTAACACAACCCTACTACCAGTATAGTATGCTTCTTGCTTAAGTGAGGAGAGGCTGTATTTTAGCTTAAATTAATTTCCATGGAAATGAGTGAAAATTCTTTACAATTGGACCCTCTGTATCCATGGGTTCTGTATCCATGGTTTCAGTTATCTGCAGTTTGCTGTGGCCAGAAACAACCCTTAATTTTGCTTAATAGTGTTCTCAAAGTACAAATGTAGAGATAGTGGAAGTTCCTCAAAGCCTAAGAGAAGCTATGAAGTGCTTCCCATCAGTGAAAATTCTCCACTTATTGTACATATTTATCAATTAAACTTTATAACAGGTATGTTTGCAAATGAAAAATGACTTATATATAGGGCTAACTACTATCCCCAGTTTCAGTATCCACAGCAGATCCTTGGAACGCATCCACTGCAGATACGGGGGTCCTACTGTATCTCATTAAAAACACAAATCAAGTTATTAACAACTAAGAGGGAAAAAAATTGCTAAATTATGTGGCTGCTCCCTAGTTATTAGTTTTCATTATCAAGTAAATGTATTCTTACGACTTCTATTTACATTTGCTTGCTCATTTTTGTCTACCATAATTCACACTTTTATCAATCAATCTCCCGTATGTAAACTGGCCCTTAAAGATCTACTCTTTCGATATGCATCAATCATTATTTCTTCCAATGAATTTTCATTAATGTAATATTTTCTTTCTTATTTATTATTCATAAACTACTGCACAAATTATTATATCAAATTCATTTACACATTAAAAACAATTAGGCTCAATATAAGAACCGAAGTAATGATCCTCATATGACTGCTTCATACTTATGCAATGCATACACTACCTTCTTATTCATAAATCAAAATTTTTAGGATAGAATTTTTCTCATTGTTTAGTAATCTCTCTCTTTCTGAATAATGCATAATCAAGGGTAATAGAAATATTGAAAATGATGAATAATTAAGCTGTGCCATCTTTGATTTGTTTGAAACCAATATTCAAGATTAGAAAAGTTTTCGATCTTAAAATTTAGAACCTTTATTTTTATTTGGAAAAAAAAAATCTAAATTTCAAGGATGATTACAAATTCAAAATATTAAAAAAACGACCTCACTAATTTTAAAAAAATCCATTTTGATATTTTTCAATTAAAATTTAGTATTTTGCTCTTACACAGATTATATACCAAATTTATATAGATCATTAAAAAATTTAGAAAGTATTTACTTTTATTTAGAAAATTTCAAAAATAGAAATGTTCCCATTTTAAAGTAGGAATTTTCTCTCTTATTCAGAAAATTTTGAATTTTGGAGATGATTGTAAAATCATAATTCAGTTTCTAAATTTGGGAAAATTTAATTTTTTTTTTTTTTAACAAGTCGGCCGTCTCCCACTGAGGCATGTACAATTGAACCACAAAATTTGTGAGCATCACATTCACATGCTTCACTTATTCAACATTTTTACTGAAGGGCTTCTTTGCAAAAAAACCCAGTTATTCACAAGTTCTTTTTTGGATTGCTGCTTGTCTCTGCATGGCAGCACATACAGTTCCCCAATATGTGTGTGGGAGGAGGGGAAGGAAGACGGGTAAGGAGGGTTGGGGGAAGGATGGGGTGAGAGGTGGGATGATAGGTGAGAAGAGTTGGGGAAGGGGGGAAGATGGGTGAGGAGGGCTGAAAGGAGGGGGTGGAAAGATGGGTGAGGAGGGTCAAAAGGGGTGGGAAGATGTGTGAGGAGGGTTAAAATAAATTATTTATTTTTGAAGAGCCATATAAATACAATAGCCATACATTCAAAATGATTACATATTGATTTTGTGATATTTAATTGAGATTTAATAGTTTTTAAACAATATTAGTAAAGATGGTGGCAGAAGGGAAAGGGTGGGAGGATGGGTGATGAGGTTTGAGAGAAGGGGCAAAATTTGAAAGTCTGTTCCATCTATTTCAAAATGGATCCTTTATTGCAACTTCTTCAATAATATAATACCAAAATGCCATTAAAAAGTCTTTAGCAATTTTCCATGTTCTTCAAAATTCTTAAACACATGAAAGTGGAAGAAATATTTGAAAGATTTTTACCTAAGAAAAAAAGCAGAGCTACAATAAACACACAAATAGTTAATCAATTTGTGTTATACGCACTAGAGGTGTGGGGCAGAATGTGCCTGAGGGATGATAGCTCCACTTGGGTAAGTGATCGAGCATCTCCAACAATGCAAGAGATCATGCCATTGGATGTGCTGCTGCCACTACTGCTGTTGCTGCTGCTGATCATTGCACTGCTGCTGTTCACATTTGACTTTTGGCTGCCCATCTGGCTGCTTTCTTCATTCTAAAAGTATCATTAACAGTGTTGCAAATAGCTATGAGAGTAAGAATTTCCCTTTACTTTTTCTATTATTTACAGTATGATGCTGCAGCAAAATTTTGATAATTTCAGAATTCTCTTCCATATTAACTAATGGCATTATAGTATATTATGTCAAAGTGGTTTAAAAATAATTTTGAAACTATTTCATTAGAAACAAAATATTACACTAAGATTCCTGTCATTTAATGTCTTCAACCTGGTCCTAGTTCAAGTCTGCCTGAAATACTGTGCATAACTAGAGCTTCTTTAATCTGTACACAATTATACTGTTATCTCAATGTCATAATATCTATGTGCTAGATGCATTTCTTTCACTTTGGGACTGACAAGAGGTATCCTCAGTCCCCTGGAATAATCAAACGAGGAATGGGAAAATATCCTCATGCCAGCACGTGATTGGGTAGTTAGTGGAGAATGAGAACCATCAACAGGCATAGATACAGCAAGAATTACTGAGAAGTGGATGGGTGGGACAGAAAAGCAGAAGCCCTGAGTGTAGATCAAGCCCTCTGTTCAAGAGACATGAAGGTAAGTCTGGAAAAGAAGAAGCACAATTCACTTCCAACCTCAGCAGTGCCCTAATACACTCACTCTAGTGGACTGCCTCACTAGAAGTCCCACCTTTGACACAGACTGATTTTTTAACTAATCTATTTCGCCAATTATGATTTCAACTTTATAAATATGCAATAATCCCCACCTCCAGTAAAAATATCTACAATAGTTGCAGCACAGTAAGATTAGCAGTCCCCACTTATATTCACTGTAATTTTAACCAAATATTCTGAACAAGTCATCCTCCTACTTGAATATGCTCTATGTGCCAAGCAAAAATAAGTTGATTACTATCCTCCAACATGCAGGAGAAAGTTAAATGTCTATTTTTTTTTTTTCAACTAGTCGGCCGTCACCCACCGAGGCAGGGTGATCCAAAAAGAAAGAAAATCCCCAAAAAGAAAATACTTTCATCATCATTCAACACTTTCACCTCACTCACACATAATCACTGTTTTTGCAGAGGTGCCCAGAATACAACAGTTTAGAAGTATATACGTATAAAAAATACACAATATATCCCTCCAAACTGCCAATATCCTAAACCCCTCCTTTAGAGTACAGGCATTGTACTTCCCATTTCCAGGACTCAAGTCCGGTTATATAAAATAACCAGTTTCCCTGAATCCCTTCACTAAATATTACCCTGCTCACACTCCAAAAAATAATGTTCTCCAAGTTATTGAGAAGTTTTTATCAAACAGGTATGCAGCACAATGTTAATGTAACTTACTGAGCTAAAAGTAATCTAACAGTTTATTACTAGTTTCATAAAGGCAATATCAGTTTATGGAATTCCAATACTGAAATACATGCAAAAATAAATAAAAAATATAAAAACAAAGAAACAAATTTTTAGGTAACAAATTAATTTTAACCCTTTGACTGTCGCAACCCCCAATCCTGAGGTGTCTCCTGGTGTCGAAAAATTTAAAAAAAAACAAAAATTATTTTTTCTTATGAAATGATAGAGAATCTTTTCCCGATTGTAATGACACCAAAAAAACGAAATTTGATGGAAAACTGACGGAATTATGCTCTCACGAAGTTAGCGACCTCGGCGCTGTTTACAAATCGGCGATTTCGCCCACTTTGAACCCTATTTTCGGCTAATTCCATTGTTCCAGTCGCCCAAACTCATAGCTATTTCTTTAGAACTCCATTTTTTCTATCGATTGAGTACAAGAAACTGCCCATTTACCGATTTCAACTACCTAATAATGTGGTCAGAAATTTGCAATTTGGCCAATTTCACGAAAACTAAAAAATATGACAATTTCAAAATAAGGTCCAGAATGAACAATGCAGACATTCCTGGCTCTAAAATAACATTTTCTTTGATCATCAGTCATGTCTCCAGGCCCCTCTGATATTACTCTTGCTTTCTATTTTGAATTTTTATTCAAATAAAAAATAGACGACTTACTATTATGCAGACTACTGCAATACTGTAATAATTGTATAAATAACATCAACCCATTCATGACTGCATATTAGAATGGCTAGTTGGACATTTATTGGACAATGGCATCATTTGTTTACTTTTGAACATTGGCAAAAATCAAACATTTCCCCTAATTTGAGCTCCATTTCTAGGTCTTTTTATAGTAAAATCAATCAAAATCACCTCTATTTCTATAATATGTTTTCCATTCTATCAAATGAGACCAAGAAAACGAGTATACAGCCATAAATACCATACGAAAATAGACCACAAAGTCGGCATTTTAATTAAAAAAAACGGTCCAGTTTTTTTTTTCTCATTATGCACTGCGTGCTCCAGGATTTTTTTTATATGGTGCACACTGACCACACAGACCCATTCTCTCACATGTGGGCCTACCAGCTTTCTCCTGCTTGATTTGAAGCCGCTAGAATTTATTTTTTTTTTTTTATTATCACACTGGCCGATTCCCACCAAGGCAGGGTGGCCTGAAAAAGAAAAACTTTCACCATCATTCATTCCATCACTGTCTTGCCAGAAGGGTGCTTTACACTACAGTTTTTAAACTGCAACATTAACACCCCTCCTTCAGAGTGCAGGCACTGTACTTCCCATCTCCAGGACTCAAGTCCGGCCTGCCGGTAGAATTTATGAGTATATATACGTCAAACACGGTACCTCGTAAGACATATATATACGGCTGCGACAGTCAAAAGGTTAATGGTAAGTACGTATAACAAAAATGTTTGCGATTTATCCAATTTTTTTTTTTTACATTTAGTGATGCATCAATCGGATGGTGCTCCTACACTCTACAGGAAACGTAGCTTCTTACTAACTTGTCGTGCCACTTGAAGAAGTAAATAATCCAAGTTGTTTTTTGCTTGGTTGTCATCGTCTCTGTCTCGAGGTTTCTTGTTTTTAATGGAGATGTTAATGTTGTTCTTAAAACAGTGGTCCAAGTTATCGCAACTAAAGGAGCCAATTCTTGTATCAAGCTCATTTAAGGATCCTTTTATTCCCACTGTCTCTTCTTCTATATCCTCCATTTCAGGAACAACCTGCAACAACTGTGTATTTGGGTTATTTTTGGCCATCTCTATGATTCTTCACATTACATATATTATTTTAAAACAGAAAAAATAAGAAAAATATTTCTAAAACAATTTCATAAATAAAATTATGTATAGAATACAAAGCATTAACCCCTTAACTGTGGCATATCTAGAAATTAAAGTTCATTTATGTGGCAGGATTTTGAAAAAACAAAAAAAAAAAATCTGCATTTTTTGAAAGCTTGCATTTTTAAGAATCAAATAAGACTAAAATGAGTGAACTCTGATTAAAACTTAAGATTTTATGGTATGCTGAAGTTGACAAAAAAAAAAACAATCACTTGTCAGCAACAGCAAGGTAAATGTGCCAGTGGTACTTATGTTTTACAATTTGCTGATGCCAAATTATGATTGTTTTAAGCTTTTCATTGTTTTAATATTTAATACTATGTACACTACTTTCTTATGATATTAGATGTTGTAATACTTCAAATATGGGAAAATACATAGCCCCACAGAAAAATATACAGTATAAATTAAAACAAATAATTTTTTTTCCTATTTGCTTTTACTGCTCTGATCTTCTAACACTATATACAATGGATATCTATGATATTACAATTGTCTCAAGGTGCAATACTCTTCAAAACATGAAACTAAGTCATACTGTTGGACTATACTGTGTTATTTATTTATTTTTATTATCATACTAGCCGATTCCCACCAAGGCAGGGTGGCCCGAAAAAGAAAAACTTTCACCATCATTCACTCCATCACTGTCTTGCCAGAAGGGTGCTTTACACTACAGTTTTTAAACTGCAACATTAACACCCCTCCTTCAGAGTGCAGGCACTGTACTTCCCATCTCCAGGACTCAAGTCCGGCCTGCCGGTTTCCTTGAACCCCTTCATAAATGTTACTTTGCTCACACTCCAACAGCACGTCAAGTATTAAAAACCATTCGTCTCCATTCACTCCTATCAAACACGCTCACGCACGCCTGCTGGAAGTCCAAGCCCCTCGCACACAAAACCTCCTTTACCCCCTCCCTCCAACCTTTCCTAGGCCAACCCCTACCCTGCCTTCCTTCCACTACAGACTGATACACTCTTGAAGTCATTCTGTTTCGCTCCATTCTCTCTACATGTCCGAACCACTTCAACAACCCTTCCTCAGCCCTCTGGACAACAGTTTTGGTAATCCCGCACCTCCTCCTAACTTCCAAACTACGAATTCTCTGCATTATATTCACACCACACATTGCCCTCAGACATGTTATCCTAGGTTAAATATTTGTTATAAACTGAGGCTCTGGGAAATATCCTGAGTTATATAAATATAATGCAATTTCTGTGTGTCCATATCAGATGTGTGTCTTCCAAACTACATACTGCAAAACATATATTTACAAGGAAATCTTATGATATTACATTTGTTTCAAAGTGTAATACTCATGGAAATAAAATCACATTTACTATAATGGGTTACTTATCCCAAGTTAAATCTACATAGTATGCTCATTGGCTGAATTCCACTATTACTGTTACAAAAGTGTAATAAATCCAGAATGAATAAGGCAAACAAGTTTCACACCTTGTTTGCTGGTGGTAGGGCAACAGGCTGGCTTCATTGTTTACTTGCAATAATTAGGCAGTGTAACCCCATAATGAACTGTGTGGACCTGCCTGGTTTTAGATTTTTTTTCAGACATGAGGAGATTGTAGGAGACCAAAAACTGATGAGCTGAGGTCAAAAGTATTGGCAGGTGGCACATTTGAAGGAACAAAAAATTTTGCGTACTAGTACACTGAACACAATCATCACCTGCGTACAAGTATGCTAGCCAGTTAAAAGTGTTAAATATACTGCATGCTAGATACAATTTGAATACATCAGAGGAATCTAGGAAAATATTCCTAGTTCCTATCCCAGTATGCTTACAATACGTACAAACAATTCCACACAGATCATAAAAAAAAAAAGACTCCCTCATTATTTTCCTTCCTACTTACCCTCTTCCTTCCCATCTTAAGAGTATAATCAAGCCCTCCTAGTACTACTATCTACCTGTGAATATAAAAGAAATGCAGTCTGTTTATCAACTCAAGATTCTTCTTAAAAACCACTTACTCAACCACAAGTAAATAAATACTGAATAACTGAATCTCATAAACATATAGTCTGTGACCCTATCAAACTTATGTTTTTTTTAATTACATTACCTAATAGAATACTCCATTCTCTTGAATGCACAGTAACTCATCTAATGACCATATGACCTGTTTCTGAACTATAAATCATTGATTTTACTCGATCTGATTCGATTATATTATACATTGTTATGCTACTAATTTGTACAACTTTAATGCTTCTTATTTGAAATACTAATTTGTACTTCATGTTGTAATTTGTTTACTGTAATTTTTACCACTAAATATATCATTGCTTAGTTAATCTTAAGTTAATTTTAAGCCTGCCCATAATGCTCTGCATACAAGGGGCTTTTGGCATGTACACCCAATCACTATATTTCCTTGTACAACTATGTATCATGTCCAAAAAATAAATAAATAAATAAATAAATAAATAAATAAAGAAAAGGAGCTGATGAGGAGATGCATGGGAGATGCACTTCTTTCAAAGATAATGAAAAAAATAATTAATTAAAAGGAATACTATCTAACCAGAAATTCAGGCAGTGGTTTGGAGGGATTTGAGGAAGGTAGTTGTGATTATTGCCCTTAAATTGGCCAGGTTCAACCACACAAGAGAGTTTTCAAAGCAGCAAAGGGGAAAAGGAGAAGCCTCCTTATGGAGAGAGAGTTGAACTGATTGATCATGCACTAGATGGAGAAGATACAAAAGCACAAATGGAAGAGGTGCAAATTCTCTGCTGGAGCACAGAAAGATCCCAGAGATGAAATCCAATTCTGTCTTGAAAATTATAAATAAAAAACATTGGCCAATCCTGTGCTGACCAGTGTAGAAAAAAGTCAACCCCCTTCCCCCCCCTAAGGGGAAGTAAAAGCCCAAAGTTGGGGTGGTCAGGAAATGCCAGATTCCATCAGTGGCAAGTGTAATCTGAAGCTGAACATACACAGGAAGGCCTGCAAGAAACTGAGGCAGTGTGGCCTAACAGCATGCAAGCAAGGAAGTCTGAATGAATATTGCAAGTCCAGTGTGTCAGAAATTGCAAATAAATCATGGTGCATTCTGAAAGTTTCAGATGCCATCCATCCATCATAAACATGCGAACAACACCACGCAACATGGGATAAAAGGAGGCTACTGAAAAGAAAGCGTGCACGCAGACCTTAATAGGGCCTTGAGGAGTGAGAATCAGTGTAAATTAGGTGGATCCCTAGTGATAACAAAGCATAGTAAAACTATGTTTAACATTAACAGATGACAAAATGGTTTTATATTACCTGTGGATTCTCTGTGATAGGACTTGATATAATATCAATGAGTCGGGAGAGAACTTGTTTACAGGTGAAACGCTGTAGAGGATCCAGTACCAGCAATCCACGAATCACATCTTTGGTAGATTCTTGAACAGGCTTATCTCCTCTGTATGAAGACAAAAACTTAAATATGTATTCCTTAAACACACTGCATACAGAGTAATTTTTTAACATTCCCAGGTTGCAGAGCACTGCAACAGGCCTATCTGCCCTTTCACATCTGACTACACCAGCCTCTTCTCCACGTTCACCTGACACACTACTCTCCTCCCTACTATATAGTATAAATGAGTTAGACACGTGCAACACTTGCATATCTTTACCATTCACCATTCTCCTTTGTATGGACTGATGAAGCCACTGTGTGGGAAAATGTTTCCTCATTAAAGATACCCAAGTGTTGTACATCTGTTTGACCCTTAAACGGTCCAAACGTATATGTACGTTTACCTGCGCAGCTTCCCGAATATTTTGAGAAAAAAAAAAACAATCGTTTTTTAATAGGAAAAAAGAGCATGTGGTACCCAGGCATCCCCAATTTTTTTCATATGGCACACACTGAGTGTGCACACCCATTCTCTCATGTCTAGGCGAATCAGGCCTATCGTGCCAATGTTGAATAAATGACAAATGAAACATATATATACGCTTGGGGCGCTACGCGAGAGAACATATACGTATATACGTTTGGACCGTTTAAGGGTTAATTTAACAACCTGTCGGTTCTCTGAACCGTTCATCTACAGTATAAATGAGAATGTCTTTGATTCCCTGGATTCCCTTGCGAAAGTTTACTACACAAGAGAAAAAACATTATGTATCTACATTAATAATTTTTTATAGCTTCTTTCTGGCAAAAAATCCCTTAAAGTATATAACAATAGTGATCAGGGGATTAATACTAACCAAAATAATGTTTAGAATTTACAAATAATTTGCCAAAAAGGAATAGAAAACTGTACAAATATGAATGTAGATGATGAACTCATCTCCAAAATAAGTAAGGAAGATCTCTACGAGAAGACTCAGATAAACTAAGAAGGTGAGGTGATGGATGGAGGATAGAACTTAATATGGCAAATGGCCACAAAATGGAAGTGGAAAAAAACAAAAACAAGAGGCCACATGAGATATATAAATTGTGAGTAATCATAAATGGCAAATTGACAACAGATTATCATATAAATGAAATTGTAAGAAGCATATACTATATGTTAACACAGCTTTTAGATACAAGGGATCCCTGACCTAGAAATACCAGAGTTAGGTTCAGGATTACAAAGGACTTATTATTAAGTTGAAACACCAGTAGCATAACTTGTGTGACAAAATATTACAAGCTTTGCCCCTGTAGCTACAGACAGGTTATTCCACTTCATCTAGAATTTCTCTCTCACTCACTTAGGAAGTGTATATTGTGCAGCTTTAATTTTTCGAAAGAGTTCTTGTGGAGAAGCATCATAAAATGGAAAGTGTCCATACAGCATTGTGAACAGCACCACCCCTAAGGCCCACATATCTGAGGGTTTGCCTGAAAATAAAAATGAAGATTTCATATATTGTACACCAGTCATACAAAGATTGATGTACAAATGTACAATTAGTTACTGTATGTGAAAGCGATGAGAAAACCCAATAACTAAAAAAAGAACATTAAATAATAAATTATAAGTGAGGTAAGTCCTTTCAGTTCATGTAAAATATACTAAGCATGAACTGCAAGTGCATAGTTAACAAAAATAACAAATAATGGGATGGTATAATGGATTGATAAAATAATGTAATACATGTACATACAATATAGCTGCCAATAAAAAGTTTGCAAAACAATGCATAAAAAATCAAAACAGTTAAAATACCTTTATTTAACTATCATCTTTCATTACTTTGTAATCCTGTCTCACATCAAATCACTTAGTTTCCATTAATAAGTCAGATGCATGTTAATTCATACATTTTTCACAGCCTCCACCAACTCTGGGATGCTGGAGATTTGGTGCTTTGCATTTTGGTGCTCTGCATTTTGGTGCTCTGCATTTTTAATCAAGCTGAGGACTGAGTTATTACCTGGCAACTCCAAAACAGGAATTTCATGCTGTTTCAAACAATCCTTGCTTTTTTGCTGTGGTGGCAGGAGGCTACATCATATGTAAAGGTGCTGGTGTTATAAATATGGGAATAAGTAAGAGGCCTCTAATCAATGACTTCCAAATATTTTTCCCCATTCATATGTCACCCTTAAGCAAGAAATAAAGATCACTACGGCTGCCACTGCCATTGAAACAGTCACAAACCATGATCTTGGTGGGGTGTTTAACTGTTTTGACAGGGAAGTAATGGTAGGCTGATGAGCCCACTTTGAAACATTCCTGATAACACAAAAAAAGTTGATTCCTCAGTAAACATAATGTTCCTCCAATCTTCGTACTATTCACAAAAACCAATGTTAGCTTTGTGCCTATTAGTAGTGATAAGGGGTTTCCTGGCAGTCCTGTGACATGGCATCCTCAGATCCTTGTGCAAGTGATGTTGGAAAATGCACACAGCCACATTGCGATTCTTATTCTTTAGTTCCTGAGCAGTAACTAAGGTTTAGCATATCTTCCTTTTTCAGAAGAGCATCAATGTATTGGGTGGTCTTCCTGAGCCAACAAGACCCTCTTTTCCTAATGGAAGTGATGCCATGAAGCAGGTTGCTTGTAGCTTCTTATTAGGTTCCAGACAGACTGTGGGGTGCATCCTATCTCCTCAGCAATATTCTTCACAGAGACTCCCTCTTCCTTAAGTGATGACATTAGTCTTCTCCTTCATATAAAGTATTTAGTGACCCATTGTAATCCACAGGATTAACTGCAGATGGCAGCAAATGTAGATACTCAAATGTAGATACTCTTCAGGTAAACAATAGCATAAAGGGACAAATGGTGAGTGTAACAACAGCTTTCTCTAACATAGCCAGTGGGTTATTGAGAATTTTGTGTTTCTGTTTTTGACATAGGACTATATCTAATTCATTTTCTTTATATGGTTGGAAACACAGGAATAGTGTTTAGTACTCAAATCAGCAGCATTTTATTCTTTTGCATTTCAGGGCAAAAAACTTGTTTTGTGGAAATTGCATAAGGAAAGAGGAAGAGTACAATACTGTACAGAGTGGAAGCCCACCCATCTTCAGCCAATGTAAAATGAACTTTCTCTGTAAGCTGAACCTCCAAAAAATTTAACCAAGAAACATAGCTTGATTCTGCTGATTCTTGGAAAATCTTGTAAGTGTAAAAAAGAGGTTACTTTCTAGGCTCTTTGGTCAACCAAAGGAGAGCAACAAGCCAGGTGGTTACAAATATTAAAAATCTAACACAAACATGTTATTTTATTCAATATTTAAATGGAATTTCAACATAACAGTGATACTATATACAGCCTCTCTTCACTTAATGAAGGAGTTCTGTTCCTAAGACCATGTCAGTAAACAAATTCATCACTAAATGGGGAGCATACTACAACAGTAGTGGGTTTGTGTCAGCCATCTTTGATATTGTTTTATTGTCACCTTTTCACCATCTATAACACATCTGGTATATTTTTAAATATTTATACAGCAGTGTATTGTATACTGTAATAAACAGAATAGAGGAAATCGGCTCTAATATACATCATATTTAGGTATGCGTACTGGTCAGAGAGCCCGTCGTAAGTCCAAGTCATCGGTAGACGAGTACGTCACTAAGTGAGGAGAGGCTGTATTATATGCAGTCTTTAGTTGTCATATTTTTATTCAATAAACAACGTTAGTGCTGTACAATACCTTCTTCTTCTTTCAACAAATGGGCCCAATCCCACTGAGGTAGGGTGGCCCAAAAAGGAAAAACAAGTTCCTCTTTTAAACTTTATTAATGAATACAGGACAAGAGGTTACTAGCCCCTTGCTCTCTGTACAACATTTATCATCTAGATATTCAAAGTTTCATGCATTTTCATATTTTGTAAAAAATTTAGGAACTAAGCCATTACAGGTTACTGAACTTACAAACTTCTTAACACAATACACAAAATAGCCAGCACATAAGAGAGTGAAACTTACGATGACCATCACATACAACTGTGTGTATCATTGAGGCCAGGGTCCCCTCACATAGTTGTACACCATGAGCTCAGCTCACAGAATGGAAAATTTTGTCCTAGATATGAGAGAATGGGTCTGCAGAGTGGGTGTGCACAGTGTAAAAAAAAACCCTGCCCCATGCAATCCACGAAGGGAAAAGCAAAACTGTGTGTATGGTTTAAAAAATGGCTCTGAGGTGGTTTTTTTTTTTTTTTGTATAGAATGCAACTTGCATTGTTGAATATATGAGAAGAAAGTACTTAGAATGTCTTTCTTTATTTCACCTGTACAATTGTCATAAAATATCAGTGACCATTTCAATGGGTAAAGAAACAGAAGTCAGAATACTTCTATTTATTAATATAGCATTTTCATATAACTTACCTAAATAAGGTTTGCCACTTAAAACATCGGGTGAAATATATGCAGGTGAGCCTCGCTGGTCACGGAGGCGATCTTTCTCAGACGGAAGATGTTGGCCCAAACAGAAATTTGTAATTGTGACTTCCCGTGTGGTTCTATGTAGCACTAAGTTCCCAAGTTTCAAGTCCCGGTGAACAATATTTTGCTGAAACAAAAAAAAAATGTCCTTTGTAATCTTGGTATAGCACATGAATTCGTGTTGAAAGTAGTTTATATTACATTAATATTATTACTGTAGTAGGTTGGTAGACAGCAACCACCCAGGGAGGTACTGTATTACCGTCATGCCAAGTGAGTGTAAAACGAAAACCTGTAATTGTTTTACAGGTTGGTAGAATTGCTGGTGTTTTTTTTCTGTCTCAAAAACATGCAAGATTTCAGGTACGTCTTGCTACTTCTACTTACACTTAGGTCACACTGTGATGTAGTTCAACTGGGCTTGTGAGGTCACTAAGGGACACCTAATTTAACCAATTATATGGTCACACCTTGCCTTGGCAAATAGCTGTCAGACACACCTTTCGGCTTAAGTCTGAAGTGTTTTGTTCTTGATGGTGTCAGATCCCGGCGTCAGGTCAAAACACGTGGTGCACACCCCATTGTAGGGGGGTTGCTTGAAGGACCATATAAGCTCAAGGAACAGCTAGAGAGGGGGATTCGGGCGGAGTTGCTGCCGATGTGCAGAGCTGAGCAGGAGTCGAGCGGAGCTCTGGCCTGTCAGCAGAGATGAGCTGGAGAGTCTCGGGAGGAGATTCTGTTGGAGACATTGGGCAGAGTACTGGCTTGGTGCTGTACTCGTGCTGTGTAGGTCCTGGGACCTGTGGCTAGTGTGTGTGACTTAGTTTCTGTGGTGAACTGTCCTCTGTACTATATTGCAAGTTATATTCTGTTTTGTCAGTTGATTGTATTCCCTGTTTCACTGTTTATATGTACCATTCCCATTTAGCTAAACCCCAATAATGTTCTCCTGTTCCCAAATATATTATTGTACAAGGACTTAATAATAAACTGTGTTTGAATAGAATAGTAATATTTATTGTCCCCTTGTTTATTTATTCTTTTATTCATTAACTTATTTAAAGTAGTGAGAGGGTGAGTAGTGTGGTGGTAGAGTATTGAGAGGTGATGATGTAGTCACCAGTGACCTCACATTGCCTCCGCTGCTAATCGCTCGACTCACATCCCCTGCCTACTGCCTGACTACTCCCTCCAATTACTCACATATTCCTCAATGATCCATTCGTCCCATATATTCAATATCTCCCCTACATGACAACACTACACATACATGTACACATTTACATATACACACTCATCTGAATTTTCTTTGATTTTATCTTAATAGTTCTTGTTCTTATTGCTTTTCCTCTTATATCCATGGGGAAGTGGAATAACAATCTTTCCTCCGTAAGCCACATGTGTTGTAAAAGTCAACTAAAATGCCGGGAACAATAGGCTAGTAACCCCTTTTCCCATATAGCATACTAAAAAGAAAAAGAAGAAAACTGTCAAAGTGGGATGTTTGAATGTTCGTGGATGTTGTGCGAATGATAAGAGATGATTGTGGATGTTATGAGAAGCTGGATGTCTTGGCTTTAAGTTATACAAAGCTGAAGGGAGTGGGAGAGTTTCAGTGGGGAGAAATAAATGAGATTAGGTCAGGGGTTTCAAATAGAGTAAGACCTAAAGAAGGAATAGCAATAATGTTGAAGGAAAAGTTATGCCAGGAAAACAGGGAATATAATGAATTAATTCAAGGATTATGTGGAGTAAAATAAGGGTTGGATGTGAAAAGTGGGTTATAGTAAGTGTTTATGTACCTAGAGAAAAGAGAAGTGGAGAGAGAGAGAGAGAGAGAGAGAGAGAGAGAGAGAGAGAGAGAGAGAGAGAGAGAGAGAGAGAGAGAGAGAGAGAGAGAGAGAGAGAGAGAGAGAGAGAGAGAGAGAGAGAGAGAGAGAGAGAGAGAGAGAGAGAGAGAGAGAGAGAGAGAGAGAGAGAGAGAGAGAGAGAGAGAGAGAGAGAGAGAGATTTTGGGAAATGTTGAGTGAGTGTATGGGGAATTTTGAAAAAAATTCATATATGTGAACAGTATTTAGATAAAGGCAGGGAAGTTTTCATTGCATTTATGGATTTAGAAAAGGCACATAATAGAGTGGACAAGGAGGAGCAATGTGGCAGACGTTGCAAGTAATATGGAATAGGTAGTAAGTTACTAAATGCTGTAAAGAGATTACTTCCCAGTAAAAGTAGGTCTTAGATAGGGATGTGTAATGTCACCATGGTTGTTTAATATATTTATAGATGGGGTTGTAAAAGAAGTAAATGCTAGGGTGTTGGGGAGAGGGGTGGGAGGGGAATCAAATACAAAATGGGAGTTGACACACTTACTTTTTGCTGATGATACTGAGCTTATGGGAGATTCTAAAGAAAAATTGCCAAGGTTAGTGGATGAGTTTGGGAGGGTGTGTAAAGGTAGAAAGTTGAAAGTGAACATAGATAAAAGTAAGGTGATACAGGTATCAAATGATTTAGATAAAGAAAAATTGGATATCACACTGGAAAGAGGGAGTATGGAAGAAGTGAATGCTTTCAGATATTTGGGAGTTGACGTGTCAGCGGATGGGTTTATGAAGGATGAGGTTAATCAAAGAATTGATGAAGGAAAGAAGGTGAGTGGTACGTTGAGGTATCTGTGGAGACAAAAAAAAAAAAACGTTATTTATGGAGGCAAAGAAGGGAATGCATGAAAGTATAGTGGTACCAACACTCTTATATGGGTGTGAAGCTTGGGTTGTAAATGCTGCAGTGAGGAGGCGGTTGGAAGCAGTGGAGACGTCCTGTCTAAAAGCAATGTGTGGTGTAAATATTATGCAGAGAATTTGGAGTGTGAAAATTAGGAGAAGGCATGGAGTTAATAAAAGTATTAGTCAGAGGGCAGAAGAGGGGTTGTTGAGGTGGTTTGGTCATTTAGAGAGAATGGATCGAAGTAGAATGACATGGAAAGTGTATAAATCTGCAGGGGAAGGAAGGCAGGGTAGGGGTCATCCTTGGAAAGGTTGGAGGGGGGTAAAGGAGGTTTTGTGGGCTAGGAGCTTGGACTTCCAGCAAGCATGTTAGATAGGAGTTAGATAGGAGTTAATGGAGATGAATGGTTTTTGGGACCTGATGAGCTGTTGGAGTGTGAGCAAGGTAATATTTAGTGAAGGGATTCAGGGAAACAGGTTATTTTTATATAGCCAGACTTGAGTACAGGAAATGGGAAGTACAATGCTTGCACTTTAAAGGAGGGGTTTGGGATATTGGCAGTTTGGAGGGATATGTTATATATCTTTGTATATGCTTCTAAACTGTTGTATTTGGGCACCTCTGCAAAAACAGTGATTGTGTATGAGTGAGGTGAAAGTGTTGAATGATGATGATAGTATTTTCTTTTAGGGGATTTTCTTTTTTTTTGGGTCGCCCTGCCTCGGTGGGAGACGGCCAACTTGTTGAAAAAAAAAAAAATTAGAATTTTGTTATGGTTATGAAAGATCTGCTTCATGACACAGTAATAGTATGCTATAGGTCAAAGTTTAAATATTACAAAAGGGTGTGAGCTCATCAAAAGAAGCAGTTAAACTGAGTATGGTATATCAAACTTAATGTGCCCAATAACAGCTCTAGCAGTGAAAATATTAGTACAGTGGTACCTCGGGATACAAACTTATTTCGTTCCAGAGGGCTGTTCAAGTGCTGATACCGAACGAATTTGTTCCCATAAGGAATAATGTAAATTAGATTAATCCATTTCAGACCCCCAAAAATACACTTACAAAAGCACTTACATAAATACACTTACACAATTGTTCGCGTCTTGAGCTGTTCGTATCCTGAGGTACCACTGTACAGTACTAGATATTTGAGTTCTGTTTGAGAGAGAAGGCTGAAAGCAAATACATACGTACATGAATTTAGCTACTGTTTACATTAATTCACACTCAAGGGTATCCAAAGTAGTTTATAAAATACTGTACCAAGTGAAGAAACTATTAAATTCTCTCTTATTCTGAAAATAATAGAAAATTAAAAACAGAATGAAATTAGAAATTCAAAGAGCTTTTTTATTTGGGTGAGGAGTGTGTGTGTCGGCATGCAACACCTCTTTTAGGAGTGTGTGTGTTGAAATGTAACACCTCTTTTAGGAATGTGTGTGTTGGCATGCAATGCCTCTTTTAGGAGTGTGTGTTGGCATGCAACAGCTGTTTTAGGAGTGTGTTGGCATGCCACACCTGTTTTAGGAGTGTGTGTGTTGGCATGCAACACTTCTTTTAAAATTGTGTATGTTAGCAGGTAACCTGTTTTATGTAGGTAAGTTTGGGTGTGGGTGTGTGTGTGTGTGTGCACATGTACTCACCTATTTGTACCCACCTATTTGTGGTTGCATGGGTTAAGTCATAGCTCCTGGCCCCACCTCTTCATTGACTACTAGGTCCTCTCTCTCCCTTCTCCATGAGCTTTATCAAACCTCGTCTTAAAACTATGTATGGTTCCTGCCTCCACTATGTCACTTTCTAGGCTATTCCACTTCCTGACAACTCTGTGACTGAAGAAATACTTCCTAACATCTCTTTGACTCATAGGAGTCTTCAGCTTCCAATTTTGTGTGGGTACTCACCTAATTGTGGTTGCAGGGGTCGAGACTCAGCTCCTGGCCCCGCCTCTTCACTGACTGCTACTAGGTCCTCCCTCTCCCTGCTCCATGAGCTTTATCATACCTCTCTTAAAACTATGTATAGTTCCTGCCTTCACTACATCGCTTGCCAGACTATTCCACTTCCTAACAACTCTGTGGCTGAAGAAATACTTCCTAACATCCCTTTGACTCATCTGAGTCTTCAGCTTCTAATTGTGACCCCTTGTTTCTGTGTCCCATCTCTGAAACATCCTGTCTCTGTCCAACTTGTCTATTCCATGCAGTATTTTGTATGTCATTAACATGTCTCCCATGGCCCTCCTGTTCTCCAGTGTCATCAGACCGATTTCCCTTAACCTTTCTTCATAGGACATTCCCCTTAGCTCTGGAACCAGCCTTGTTGCAAACCTTTGCATTTTCTCTAATTTCTTCGACGTGTTTGACAAAGTGTGGGTTCCAAACCGGTGCTGCGT